TTTTGCTGTGACAGTTATGTGCCACCATAAATAGGCCCTTTGCAGCTAGCCATTCACGTGGTACAAAACAGCCACGCTGGAGAGCAAAAGTCGCACTGTGACAAGACATATGCCTTTTGTTTGTCTTGTCCCAGTGCGACTTTTGCTCTCCAGCACGGCGGTTTTGTACCACGTGAATGTCTAGCTGCAAAGGGCCTATTGGGTGTGTACGGGCGGGTACGGTTGGTAAACAAGTGATGTCACAGATATGCGCAGATGAGCAAAATTGCGCACTACGTTACTCAGCCGACGAGGGAGTTGTTCGTCCTCGCGGAAGTATCTTGTGATATTATTTATTTGTTCACAACTGCAGCGCTTCCTACTTAACAAAATGTTCAGAAGCAAAGGAATTTTACTTGTCACTACAATTTTGTGTTTTCCTGGTGTTATTTCGGCTACTTGCCCGCGTTCGAACTACACGGCCTTGAAAGACACACGTACTTCAGTCACCTCGTAACAGTATGGGAAAGTACCCTGCGAACCAGAATTGCACCTATGATGTTCGTGTTCCTGCTGGAAAAAGAATAATTCTTGCCTTCAAAAGTTTTAATATTTCTGGGAGTATGCCACATTGTCCTCAGGATTCTCTGGAAATAATTGTCGGGTAAGTATAAGATCCAGATTCCAATATTGTCTTGTAAACATGTCTAGACTAGCTTTGCACGCACGCGGTATTACATGTATGTTATCTCAAAGCGGAATATACTGTATAAGCTTAAAAGCAATAATCGCTTCTATCAGGGACTAGATTCAGGAATTTGAAACAAAAGCAATTGCAAATTGCGAATTTTCAAATGTCGTGATTCCTTCATCAAGTTATTTGAGCTTATACCTTTCAATTTTTCCCAGTGACAGGCTAGACGCAGATAAGTTTTTATTCTGTCACTTTGATAAAAAATGTGTTTGGCGTTGTTTAATTTTCACACGTTATTCCCAAGATAACTGGGTGATGGTCTATTCTTTTCTCAAACTTCTCAGATGAGACATGAAAGGAAGGTTGTTAATATCCACGATGTCGATTATCAGGATTTTTTTATGATAATCAATCATGCGCTATTAATGATTAATTTTTTATTATAATAATTAGCAATTATTGAATGAGGCTGAGTAGGATATGAAGAATTCTGCAGATCGAGGAAGGTGGATAACACCCTTCTGCAGAATTCTTCATATCCTATGAAAGCCGAATTCAATAATAATTGTTTTTTTACTCATTCAAAATATTTCCAAGTTTAAAAACAGGCTAAAACATGCTACAGTACTTACTGCTCAAAAATAAGTTGACACTCGATGTTCGAAACTCGAGACTCGATCCTCACGGCTTTGAAGCTTGAACGCTTCGAGTTTCGAGATGCGATTATCGAGGCATCTTGAGTTTCGAGGATCGAGGATCCAAGAAGCTAGGTTTTCCGAAAGAACGATGTTGTACAGTCACGTAGCCGTTCAGATATTCGCACCGTCGATCAGTGCTTGCGGTGCGATGTTCTGTAACTGTTTGAATCGTCGGGGTTCGCCAAACTTTCAATAAGTGTAAATTTTCGAAATTTTTATCCTGCATGTACAGTGTATGTAGCCTTTGCTTGCCACGTTCCAAGATTTTCATGTTCACTCGGCAATTCATTCTGTGAATTAAGCTTGTCGCGGTTTTATGCAAATCTTGATTAAGATTACTTTTCATTAATATCCCTTAGAGGAAACCTTGGATAAGTGAGGGCTTGATTTTTAGTTACTTGGCTAAGTCTTGGTACACAGTCAATGGATGCTGTGGCCTCAAAGTGTGCCTCTGTCAGGGAAACTTGGTATAACAAGAAACAACGAACTTGACTTTTGCCAAATTTTGTTTCTACAAGTCTAGTACGCGTCTGATCAATCTGTTCACTAGCCATTTGAGACAGGCCCATATTAGGGTCAATTTGTTTCAGCTGCTCCTTTAGTTTCTGCTCTGCAGCTACATTATGTGTGGTCTTCATCCTGGCATCATATACAAGAGATTTGATCGGTTTGCACTGTCACGCAATGAAAAATAAAAATGCAAACCATTCAATACAGAACGTCTAGAATCTGGGAAATGAAAGAAGATAAATATACAAAACGTCTTGCCAAAAATCAGGTCTGTGCAATATTTCAAATGCGAGATATTCGGAAAAACGATTTACCTAAATTTATAAAGCTTTGTATGGAAACGCCATGTTGGAGCGGTGAATGACATTATAAAATGCAGACTGCAGACTGCAGACTGTAAGTTGTTTTCACCAGTTGTAATTTGCCTACAGGGCACCTAGACTCACAACAGCCACCTAAGCTAAATTATATGATTAGTATGAGCGCCGGAGTTTATCGATAAAACATCAAAACTTGCTAAAATGACGTTTTTTTTAACATGTCTTTCCGAGGTATGTATATTAAATGGCAGTTTACGTCACAGGCAGCCCAAGCGCACTATATGTGGGTTCGGGCTTCAGAGGTCATTTGGTCGGAATATACGTTAGTGTATTATCTGATGGTAAATAAACGCAAAAATCTTAAAGATATGAAGTCTTTTTGTTTGTCTATCTGTACTAGTAGCCTTTAAGATAACGAAGGTCGATATTTCTTGCATTATTACACGTGATTCGGGCCCTTAATGTTCAAATTTTATCACATGTATTCGAATCTACAACGCTAAGAAAAAAAAATCATGATCACGCGAGATATTGATTCAAAAAGCTCCCTTACCTTTAGTTCATAGCCACTCTGTGTCCTACGGCCGGTTTAAACGCCGTTTAGTCGACTTTCTTTCCATCGAGTACTGAACACTCTCTTTCTTACCATCGAGTACTGAACAGTGTTACTCGATGAGAACTGTTCAGTACTCGATGAGATCCCCTACACAGACAACTCCTCCTATTCTGATTGGTCGTTTACACTCTTATGATTTTCGATCTAATTGCATTGTCAATCACGATTTGACCCTAAGTTCTCGATTACACGTCATTCAACACTTCGAAACGATATGCACTAATTGATATTATCATAAATCGACACGATTTCGACAACCAAATAACGGCAAAAGAAAATATATACCCACAGCAAAACCAAGCTCTTTTGCTTTTGCAGTGAAGTATTTGGTTTTGCCGTGAGGTATTTTGTTTTTGCCGTGAGGTTTTTGGTTTTGCCGTGCATGATGTTTTTGTTTTTGCCGTGAGGTTTTTGGTTTTGCTGTGACAGTTATGTGCCACCATAAATAGGCCCTTTGCAGCTAGCCATTCACGTGGTACAAAACAGCCACGCTGGAGAGCAAAAGTCGCACTGTGACAAGACATATGCCTTTTGTTTGTCTTGTCCCAGTGCGACTTTTGCTCTCCAGCACGGCGGTTTTGTACCACGTGAATGTCTAGCTGCAAAGGGCCTATTGGGTGTGTACGGGCGGGTACGGTTGGTAAACAAGTGATGTCACAGATATGCGCAGATGAGCAAAATTGCGCACTACGTTACTCAGCCGACGAGGGAGTTGTTCGTCCTCGCGGAAGTATCTTGTGATATTATTTATTTGTTCACAACTGCAGCGCTTCCTACTTAACAAAATGTTCAGAAGCAAAGGAATTTTACTTGTCACTACAATTTTGTGTTTTCCTGGTGTTATTTCGGCTAGTTGCCCGCGTTCGAACTACACGGCCTTGAAAGACACACTTCAGTCACCTCGTAACAGTATGGGAAAGTACCCTGCGAACCAGAGTTGCACCTATGATGTTCGTGTTCCTGCTGGAAAAAGAATAATTCTTGCCTTCAAAAGTTTTAATATTTCTGGGAGTATGCCACATTGTCCTCAGGATTCTCTGGAAATAATTGTCGGGTAAGTATAAGATCCAGATTCCAATATTGTCTTGTAAACATGTCTAGACTAGCTTTGCACGCACGCGGTATTACATGTATGTTATCTCAAACCGGAATATACTGTATAAGCTTAAAAGCAATAATCGCTTCTATCAGGGACTAGATTCAGGAATTTGAAACAAAAGCAATTGGTCTAAGTATGTCCCTTGCGAATTTTCAAATGTCGTGATTCCTTCATCAAGTTATTTGAGCTTATACCTTTCAATTTTTCCCAGTGACAGGCTAGACGCAGATAAGTTTTTATTCTGTCACTTTGATAAAAAATGTGTTTGGCGTTGTTTAATTTTCACACGTTATTCCCAAGATAACTGGGTGATGGTCTATTCTTTTCTCAAACTTCTCAGATGAGACATGAAAGGAAGGTTGTTAATATCCACGATGTCGATTATCAGGATTTTTTTATGATAATCAATCATGCGCTATTAATGATTAATTTTTTATTATAATAATTAGCAATTATTGAATGAGGCTGAGTAGGATATGAAGAATTCTGCAGATCGAGGAAGGTGGATAACACCCTTCTGCAGAATTCTTCATATTCTATGAAAGCCGAATTCAATAATAATTGTTTTTTTACTCATTCAAAATATTTCCAAGTTTAAAAACAGGCTAAAACATGCTACAGTACTTACTGCTCAAAAATAAGTTGACACTCGATGTTCGAAACTCGAGACTCGATCCTCACGGCTTTGAAGCTTGAACGCTTCGAGTTTCGAGATGCGATTATCGAGGCATCTTGAGTTTCGAGGATCGAGGATCCAAGAAGCTAGGTTTTCCGAAAGAACGATGTTGTACAGTCACGTAGCCGTTCAGATATTCGCACCGTCGATCAGTGCTTGCGGTGCGATGTTCTGTAACTGTTTGAATCGTCGGGGTTCGCCAAACTTTCAATAAGTGTAAATTTTCGAAATTTTTATCCTGCATGTACAGTGTATGTAGCCTTTGCTTGCCACGTTCCAAGATTTTCATGTTCACTCGGCAATTCATTCTGTGAATTAAGCTTGTCGCGGTTTTATGCAAATCTTGATTAAGATTACAACATTTGAGTTGTTAAATTTGCTTGTTTGTCAAGCTCCCACTTCTTTCATATAAGGTGGCTTAGGACATGTAGCCTTTCACTTTGAAAACTCAGTGATTCCGTGGCTTTTTGCACGTTTGGCACATGTAAATAATGTTGATAAAGTCATGAGAAACTACATTTGTTCTAGAAAGCGAAATTTTCACGTGCGTGTTTCAGTCAATACCGTGGCTTGTTACGCTGTTACTGTATGTAAATGTGCAAATCTACACGTAGTCACACAATAATTTCAAGGAAAACTTTATTTGTAGCGAAGAGCGACTTTTTCACGAGCATTTGAGTTATTGAATTTTCCATTAGTCAATTTCACATAATTTATGTAACCTTTCATTTGCCATGTTCATTTGAAAACACAGCTCAGTGACTCCGTACATGAATTATAAAACTGGCTTTTATGCAAATCTAGTTGATGTCACCGGAAACTTTGTTTGCTGAGGCGAGATTTTAACACACAAACATTTGAGTATTGCAAAAAAGGTCCAAACTCGTTTCGTTCAAATGACAGAAAGTGGCAAGGAATGCACGAGCCTGGCACGGGCACTCTGGAAAAAATCGGAAAAGTAATTGTGACATGATTCGGAGTTTGACAGACAGACAGACCTCGTGGTATTGATTTGTGAGGTAGGTGAGATCTAGTTTTTGAATTGAAGCATGTGAATCTGTGAGCTTGTTTTGGAACGATTAAAGAAGATTTATGGTTGAAAAATTTGGTTTGAGTCCTTTAGTTATTGTTCGTTTTCAAACAGGCTGTTTTTACTGCTAGTCTGACGCAAGAACAATGGAAAGTCAAAAAGAATTACGGCTGTTATGAGATGTCTTCTTGCTGTTCTTGTGATGTTTTTAGGTGATATTTCGCCGTGAAACGAGTAAAATGTTCCGCGACAGTTGCACCATTTTGTTCTAAATACCAAAACAACTCAATCTTGTCCCCAGGTTCTGTCGGTCAACGGTTCAATAACCTGCAAAAGGGTGCACTTTTGACATTATTTTGAGGTCATTGGTTCAATATGACAAAGTTCTTTCCAAATTTGGTCAACAGCAGCTGGTTATGGTGAATTATGTGTGTGGTTTTAACCAATCAGAAACACGGACATATTTTGAATGAATTAATAACAATATTATTGGATGAGGTTTTAGCTGAGTGAAGGCCAACGCTGATAACACTTACTGAGACCTTGATTACCTGCATTCAAGCCCCACTTTACAAATAAAGTGAAACCTGTATTAACCCTTTAAGACCGAATCGTACAAATTTGTACGATCTGATATGGCCCACAGTCATTTGACCAGCAGTTTCCTAAAACTTAGTTTCCAGACCCCCCTTCTTTGCAACGCCTAGTGGATTGTTTTGTTCACCATTTTGAGTTGTTTTGAACCAGTTTCTGCGGCATTTTTGATTTGTTAGAGCAATAGTAAGCTTAGTTTTAGTTCTGCAACATGTCTGAGCATAGGACACGTTATAATTTGAAAGATTTTTTGATTATTTTGGATGGAAACTTCGAGATACCCGATCGTGGCGTGTTTCGGATATCGAAGGCTTTGATATAAAATAAACACCGAAGAAGATAGCAAGGATGAAGTAATGAATTTTTTTCAAACCAGGGAGAAGAAGAAGAGGAAAAACTCAGTCTTCGGGACATACACATTGATGATTCAACAGTGATTAAGATTTTTTTCATCCTGGAAGGCCACAAAACATTTGTTTGGATGTTTATGTTTAGCTCCTGGAAGAAAGCGATCGAGAAGTTCTCACTTTCAATTATCAGTGAATTAATAAGGTTGGGCCTACGAAGGTGTAACACCAAACCATGCCGTATTTTGTGGACAGAATATAACCTTGATAGTATCAAAGGTAGGCAAATGTGGTATGAAAATAATCCTCAGTAAATTTGCTTTAGATTTAGACTCCAGCAGTAATTTTCATGACCAAATTGGAAGGTCAGTACACTGAAAACAATTAAGGTGAACTAGTTGTGTGACATGAACTTAATATTTAACAACCTGTTAATTATTATTTATTAGTTACTTATCAATAAAAAGTGGCTTGGCAGATAGCCCGAAGTCTTGTCTACCACATATTCAAAGTTTATGTTGATACCTTAAATTTCAAGGAAGATTCAGTGCATTTAACAATACCAGCCTTAGATCTTAAAATGTGCAAAAAGTAAATTCAGGTCTTAAAGGGTTAAGCGGACACCCTTGGGGAATGCTGTAGTGTCCGCTTAATAATGAGGTGCAGGTGTCAAATGCCATTCAAATGAACAGTGGAAACGTTTAGAATACTCCCAGAGACTATGACGATATATGTCAGTTGCATTGATTTCTTTATCAAAGTGGACCAATTGATCATAGTACCATAAACGTAGATTGCAACCAGTGTAACTCAAACGTGAGGAAATCAGATGAGTGAAACAAGCTCTATACAAACAAAACGAAATAGAAAACAATACTGCACTGTGAAACTAATCAAATAAGTTCGTCAAGTCACGTTTTTTAAAGGAAAATTGAAAGATTTGTGGGTGGCAATTTGAGGCAATCTTTCACATTTCCAGTGTCTGGCATGTTGAGTGGTGCAATTGGCAACAATAGAAATGACCATTTCAGGTACTTTTTAGGTGTCCGTGTCCGCTTAAAAGAGGTGTCCGCTTAATAAAGGTTTTATTTAAAGTAAATAAGGGAAACATATTTGGGGACTTCAGCTACTGTCCGCTTAATACGGACACCTCATTATTGTGGACAGTTTGCTTTGTCCCTGGGGAAAGAAAACCATTACATTTTCTCTAAATTCAACCCACTTAATATGGACACCCCATTATGGACACTTTTTACGGTCCCCTCAGTGTTTTATTAATGGGGTTTGACCGTATTTAGGATATCACAAAAACTGAATCTAATAATTGTTTTATCATACATTGTTCTAAAGAAAATGATGACAAACACACCATCGCAAGGAAACTGAATTGATATTATTATTGGAAATCATGCATTGCACGTGCAACCAATAGATAAGTCAGTTATCTGCTAGCAGATAACTCACTTATCTGCACAGCTGTCACTAGGTTGTCGGGTAAATACAGCAAGTAGGCGGGGAATCAAACAGAGGGATTTCTTTTGGTTCTATTTTTCTTTTATTTTCATATGAAAGTAGCCAAGGGCTATGTTCATAGCAACCAGGGGAAATCCCTGGCCCCTGCCTGTGAATGACAGGCTTAAATCTGTAGGTTGTGCTGATTTCCAAAATTAGCTGTTGGCTCTTAGCCAATGAATTGAGAAGACAGATAGTGAGTACATTGTATAATAATGGAGACTATTTTTACTTCCAGAACAACTTTCTGTGCTTCTGCATATATGTAACTAATGTTTGCAGTGCCTTCATCCTGTCCCCAATATCAAAATACAGGGCTTCTGATGTTTTGCAGGGTTGTGGAGCCTCGAAATTCACAAAAACACGCTGAATACTGCAAAACCTGCTCGAAATCTTATCATACATGTCAATACAACATATTTGAAACTTATCTTGGCAATTGGGGTTGTGTAGTTGCTGTAAACTTGCAAATTCATCTTGAAACTTTAGCACAATGAGCAACATAAAACATGCTCGAGTAATCAGTGCAAAATTTATCAATTTCCAGTGAAATTTGCCCAGAAAATTATTACAAAATCAGCCATTTTTTACTGATTGGTTTTTGGTGACATTAGCCCTGAATATTCCCGCGAAGTCAGCTGATTTTTCCAGTGAATCTGTCTCTGAAAATCCTGCGAAATTTGACTTTTTTTCCTGCAACCTATTAGAAGCCCCCAAAATACAAATAGTGGAAAATGATTGGAGTCTAAAGCATTTTGCATAAGCAGATTGAGAAAACCAGCAAGTTGGATCATTAATAATCTGGAATAGTCAGTAGTTGTGGGTGACAAGAGGAGCCCGCAGTCTAATCTTGACTTGGTCAGTGGCACTTTATTAACTGTATAGCAAGATTTTTCTTGATCTCCCCATATTGTTGAGACCCCCGTGTTGTTCTGACTAATATACATCATGTGGCCGCAATGGCCGTGGTGTTGAGTTTAAGGTCCATGTGATGTCACGGTTATCACGTGAATGCACATTCAAGTGAAGCAACAATCATTATTACATTCAATTCGCAAGCACACATAATTCAGGCAGACAAGTACTGTACTAAATGGGAGATTCTTCAATTTGCTTTGCCAACCTGGAATCTATTTACATAGAACCTGATCTCAGCTTAGTGCAGGACAAGTTTTCGGTAAAATTGTATAAGCAAATGTGAATAGAATCGTTGAATTAAATATGAGTCTTGTTTACTGTGTTGTTCAATCCAGTTTTCATTATTGGCAGTTATATCCTTTTGTTGACACTGGAACTAAAAGGGCTTACACAATTATGAAAGCTTGGTTTTCATCAATCACATATTTTCCCACATTTCCCAGCAAATGGCTACTGCTAGTTTAATATTCCGGAAGTTGAGGTTATATTGAATACTGTCAGGAATTTCCTTGAGAATACAGTTAAACCTCCTTAATATCCAGGACACCAAGAGGATGGAGCTAGGAGTATCATGTTTTAGAGCTATACTCAAAGATACTAAATAAAAAAATAAAAAAAAACAGAAATTGTCACAAAACAATCATTTAAGCTGTTTAACCAGGAGGCATTTCTAAATGATCTGAGCTTGATTCCTTTCTTAATTTCATACATATTTGATGATCCAGGTGGTCCTACTGTTGTTGGGAGAGCCTTTAAAATCAAGTCCTCGATGATCATGCACCTGTTGATACTTACACAAAGCATTATACTCCTGGTTAAAAGTTCATTACAAAAATTCAGAAAATTGTGAGCTAAAGGGATTGTCACAAGAGAAGGTTTAACAAGACCAGGTTACTGTAAGTTTGGGAAAACTAGGTACATATATCACTATAAAGTTGTGAGCGTGAGAAGGAAGGCAGTAAAGGAACATTTTAACAATCTGTGTGAGGAGAAGTATGCCAATTAGCGTTGATAATGCAACACACAAATATTCTCTGCTGGAGATACATGAAACTTGAGGACATATTTTCCTGGCAGTCAATCTTTATGGAAATTCCTCAGGGGTCAATACTGGGACTGCTATTATCCAATATTATCATGAATGATCTGCATTGCCCAATTACAATGTAAGCACATCATCCTGTCAACCTATCAGGGTTGTCATTAAGAGCCAGGGGCCGGGGATTTTCCCCGGCTACTAAGAGAGTGGCCCCCGGCTACTTTTATTGGAAAATAGAAGAAAAATAGAACCAAAAGAAATCCCTAGCCGTTTGATTCCCCGCCTACTTGTTGTATTTACCCGGCAACTTGAAATCTTAGTGACAACCCTGCCTATACTGATGACACGCAAATATTCTAATCCATAAATAGTTATATGGAAGTTGAAGAGGCCATTAACACAGATCCAGACCTAGGTTAGACAAATGTTTTGAGGAAGTTGAAATGAGACAAAATCACGAGAAATACAAGGCAATGGTGGTAGAAAAGACAACAGACAATCCTGGGGTTGAATCTGACAACACAGTTATCGCAATAGAAAACAGAATTTAATTCTTTGGATAGAGAGTTTGAGTCCCACGTTGCCAAGATTTGCCAAGTAGTGTTTGAGCAGGTAGGTGAATTCAAAAGAAAGATGAAGTTGTTTCCTTTCAAAACCCACAAGTGACTTTATGAGGTGTTTATTTAGCCGCATTTCAATTTCTGCACCAAGACTTGACATTTTTCTAGTAAGCAATCAACAAAACACTTGAGAAATTGAATGAGTGATTGCTTAGCTTTGTTTGGCGTGATTAGAGCCCTACCTAAGCTATAAGAACTATGAGTGATTGCTTAGCTTTGTTTGGCGTGATTAGAGCCCTACCTAAGCTATAAGAACTGGTTTAGGAAAAGTGGACAAACAACTCTAACTAATTTTGAGCCTATCTGTATGCATGGGTACCTGCGGATGTTGATTTTGTTGCGTGTTTTCAATTAAATTGTTGGTTTTTCAGGCAAAATTGTTGCACGTCAAGAATTTATTGTTTTGTGTGGTTAACGCTTCTAGCAAACTCAGTGCAACTACAATGACGACAAAAATGAGAAAAATCATAGTAAAAGCTGAAAAAGCAATTGGTTTAACAAACAAAACAAAAACTGTGAAAATGCAGCACACTTTTTGGCAGATTTCTTTGCCGTCATTACACAACTGACATTGTCAAACCTGATTGGAATGGCAATTGTGTGATCCTTTCTTTAATCTCTAAGATTGTTGCTTTATCAATAGTGATGCTTGTGACTTTTATTTCATTGGAAATACCCACACAGAGGATCAACCACAGACTAGCCAAAATTTTAGAAGCTGTTTTTTGAATAGTTAATCAAAATAATAAAGATTTGAATATATGTGAAGTGCCGGTAGGTCTTTAAGATTTAATTTAATACTTCTTTTAAGGAAGTCAAGCTATTGACCTCAGAGGAATTGACATCCTTACTGTACCAAAAGTGAACACCACCACTTACGGGCTAAGATCTTGGTATTACACAGTAGCCAGGTCTACCAAACAATATTATAAAAGAGTTACAACTGACAAGTCTTTCAAAAATAAAATCAGAAAACTTATATAAGGCCTATATATCCAGTCAGTAATTATACTTTAAGCGTCTTGTAAAATGGCTTTTTAGCTAAGTGTTAATTCTGTTAATAAATTGTTTTGTTGGGACGTATACATATATTAAGGCCCTGTCAAGGTAATTCCATCAAGCAACATGTCGACTGCATTGAAACTGCAGTGACATACTTGTACACTGTAAGACTCGATGAGAAGCGGGAAAACAACATGAAGATGGGTTGAATACCAACAAGGGACATGGCCTTCTCCTCAAAAGGTGAAGCAGCCAGATTTAGAATTCAGTCTTTATGGACATATGCAGGGTGTCCAGTTCCTATATATTTTCCTATTTTTTGAGCCTATTCCTATTTTTTCCTATTTTTTTGCTGGTGAAGCCAAAATTTGTAACAAAATTGAAGATGGAATACAAATAATTATAGTTTATGTGTTTTAGAGTGATATTTTTCATAAAGCAAGTAGTATGTTGACTTTGATGTTCTAATGTTAGCAAAAATAATAGTTACATTTGTTCTTTCCATGACCTCTATTGCTTATTAGAGTTCTGTTAGCAACTTTGTTACATTGTTACTTTTTGTATAATTTCTAGTTCACTTACATGTATTGCATGTAGTGTTATATAGTTGTCATGACTATTGAATAATATTGTGCATAGCCCACTAAAACTGCATTTCAGTATCTGTACATGTTATATTTTAATTTGAAGTCTTGCTCGCATTTTATGTTCATCTTTGGAACTGAAAGCAGGATCAAGTTGTCCTCTCATAATGCAGGACAGATGGATCATCAATCAGTTTCTTGTTTAAAAAACAATCACTAGATGGATTCTGGATGCTACATGAAAAGGACAGACTCAAGTTTTAGTTACGGCAGTACCTCTCTAGTGACCCTTGTTCACAGCTATACCTAAGCAACTGACGAAGGATCCAATATTTTGGTTGCGAAACCGGTCTTGCAGTCATGGCTAAACAGAGAGTTACGTTCTTCTTAGAACTTAACCATGACGCACTTACAATTTGGTACCAAATAGATTAGTGTCATTTTGCAAACACAGCAGAAAGCCTGGTTCTGTACTTAAAACTTTGCAGTCTTTTGACTCAAACAACCATATTCTCAACCAGCTACTGATTGCAGATTAATGGAAGGAAAGCTTTCCATAGGACTTTTTAATCCTAGTTCGATATCCTTCAATGACAATGCAATCGTAAGAAATTTCCATCCTAAGAAATTTCACTCTTCGAAGCTTTTCAAAGATTGGTCGCCAACTTGAAGGGAATTTGCATATGATCACCTTTGATTATAGAACCACGCTTTACCTGTAGTCAAGCATATCATTCCTATCATTCCGATTGCAGCGCAACATAGCCGATAGACTAAACGTTTCTGAACATTTTCACTTGCTCCTAAGCTGCAAAAGTTGATCTAAATCCTGCAAACATATAAGCTGAGGACTCGTAGCCTTTATTATAACCGTGATGAGGTGCAGGGAGGCTATCTTTGTCGACGAAAGTACTTTTCAAAGATTGGCCTCCAACTTGAAGGTAGAACCGCGCTTGACCTTCAGTCAAGCATATCATTCCAATTGCAGCGTAACATAGCCAATAGACTAAACATTTCTGAGCATTTTCACTCCTAAGCTGCGAAAGTTGATCTAAATCCTGCGAACGGACAAGCTGAGGACTCGTAGCCTTTATTATAACCGTGATAAGGTGCAGGGAGGCTATCTTTGTCGACGAAAGTACTATTGATTTTCCTATTTTTCTCCTATTTTTTAATACAGAGTTTCCTATTTTTCCTATTTTTTTGAGCAACCATGCCGCTGGACACCCTGCATATGTTCCCCTTCCTAGGATGTGCCTCTATATTTAACTTTCATTGTTCTGTTAAATACAATTTATATTGGTTGTGTGACAATTAATGTGTTGTGCATAATTTTCCCTTTGGATACTCAGCTATGATAATCATATGATACAGAATTTACAACTTAAACTCCTACCAACATTGTGTAATTCCAGAAGATATCCACACTCCCCCCACAGAAGGAATTGGGTTTTCAAAGGCTGAAAATGTTAAGTAAATGTATGAAGCTTGACTGGAATTTCCAGCGAGGTGGGGGGTCTCAGGAAAAATCACTTCCGTGGGGGAGGTATGGATAATTTTTGGAACCACACATTGTTGGAGACAAAAAAGGTCTAAAGGTAATAAACTGTAACTCTCTCACAATTTCTTTTGACACTGTACTTTACTGTAGAATAATTAATTTTTTAACCCGGATAAAGCTATGCCAGATTTGTGTTTACTAATAAAAATAGTTGGCACAAAATTTCCAACCCTCTCCCTTCAGAGGAAAATCTCCTCAAATGCACAAAAATGTCAGACATATTGCTGCCTCTCCCCACTACTGTGCTCGATGACCTTGACAGTTAAATGAATTTTGCCATTTCAATTTCAGATGCGGGAACCTCAGCAGATCACTTGGCAAATTCTGTTCATGTTCAAATCTTTCAATGCCAAACAAGATCTATACCTATGACAACTGTCTGACTCTTGTGTTCATATCTGATAACTCCACTGAGGGATTGGGCTTTCTAGCGGAATACAATACGACAGATAACAATGAAACAAGAATGGATCCCATTAATGATTGCAGGTATGTACTGTCAACTCACTTACCTTGCCCAATGTTTATTGCACTATTAAAGGAGTTGCTGTGTTTATTTACTCTAGCTAGATCTTAGGAGGTATAACATTGAACTTGTATTAATCACCCAGTTGGAGGTGATCGAGTCTAGTGGATTAGCCTTTAAGGGTTAAAAAAACCCCTCGAGACAAAGGAAATTGAGAATCAACCTCAGTTGAAAACTGAATTCCATTTTGACCTCTGGCATCTATGTTGTCAAACTGTTAGTTGAAATGTAAAGAGGACTTTTTGTGTTTTAAACTGTTTAGTGTCCCTTGCGAAATGAATTCCCAGAGTTCTGGGAATTCCTAGGAATTCCTAGGAATTCCAATTTATTCCAAGACATGCAAATGAGCAAAGATAAAAAACCTTGGAATATTTGGGAATACTTGGGAATGGGTTAAAACACCAGTGGGAATTTTTGGGAATTCCTAGGAATTCCCAATAATTCCAAGTTTGAAGGATACTGTCTTTGGAACTTATGGGAATTATTGGGAATTGCTTAAACACCAATGAGAATTTGTGGGAATTCCTAGGAATTCTCAATAATTCCAAGTCATTGTTAACTTGGAAACACTGGCTTAATTTTTAGGAAAAACGATAACTGTTCAAAGGTAATAAAAAGCGTAAAAAATTTTAATAATCATTCCTTTAATTGCCTATAACAACAAGGATTTCTTGACATTAACCAGCATCTATATACAACATTTATTGCGACTTAAATCTTTAAAAAAAATTATCAACAATAAGCACGATACTGAAAGCTTATTCAAAGTGCCACTTCTCGTACCTGAGCTTTCCAAACATGTCCACAACACGTTTTTCATCGCGGCTTTGCCTAATAAAAGGTCATCGCTTCTTGAAAAAACAACACGAAATTTTCCTCTCGCTGCTTATACCTCAAAAGCGTTGGAATATTTTATTTAGCTCTGAAAACGACCGCTTTTTTCAACTTGATCATCATCGAGCAAAATCATCCGCCATGTTTGAGCTATACTGGTTACCAGTCTCCCCACTAAGTGAAGTGCGTCATCACGTGCGCCTTTTGAACCAATGGAAAAGTGTGAAATGAAGTTCCGTTTGGTGAGTTCAAATTCACGCGGACTTTCATTAGCAAGAGCACAAGTATTTTGCATCCGAAATGGACGTTATTTTAAACGCGGATTGTTCATTTATTTTGTTGTTGACACATGAAACGTGCTTCCAGTCATGTCCGAGAACGATAAGTCAGCTGGATTGTGAAAGGTAAAGGTACGTTCCTGCTTCGTAATGTGTCTTCTGATGGTAACCACGTACTCAAATAATGAAGCTGGAGATCAAAGTGAAATTATAGATCGTTCCGATATATGAACACGAAACTTCAAGATGGCATGGAAAACCATTTATTGGTTCCTTTTTGTTTACTGGAGACATAACTGTAGTCGTTGTTGCAAATGGTTGATGGAATTCTACGTGAATAAGCTAATACTCGATCAGATTCTGGCGGATTTAATACAGTAGAACCTCGATAACTCGAACTCCGATAACTCGAATTCCCCGCTAAGTCGAACTAAATTTGCTTTCTCTTGATCAAGATTTCACTGAAATTTACCCCGATAACTCGAATTCCCCACTTAAAATCGAACTATTTTTCGTTTCCCTTTAGAATTCGAGTCACCGCCGGGGTTCTACTGTAGTCATGGACAAGTATGTTTAAACGCCATGTACTACAAGTATTTTAGTTTCCAGTTCATTATTTTGTTCTCAGTTTGAGAGCTGAATTAAAAGTCGGGCGGCTTAATAAGGGCTTAGCAGATAAGCTTGCTGGAAGCAAGTTGGCCTGACTTTTTCTTTTTTTACACATATGTTCCCGCTGTAAAGTTAATTCAATCAAGACTCTTTTGCTGTATTATTCCAGTTACAAATGTGTCCCACAATTTTTCAGTAATGACTCAAGAACAATTTATATCTCAGGACTTTACTTGTTTTATTCAATTTTGTAAAAAACAAAACATGTACCATAAGATGTGATTTTGAACATTATTATCATAAACTTGTTTAAATGCAATTTCCATGCTTTCTCCAGTTGGTAATTAATCATTAAATTTGCGTATACTTTACTATCCTGGCATTGAACGTTGATTGATGACATGATGTTAAACCTGTAAACTCCTAGAATTCCTAGGAATTCCTAAGAATTCCTAGGAATTTCTGGGAATTTCTAAGAATTTTTTGTGCTTTAAAATCTTGTAGGTTGGAATTCCTAGGAATTCCTAGGAATTCCAAGTCTAGTTTCATTTCCATTTGGAATTTCCGGGAATTTCTAGGAATTTAGAACCAGACCTTTTTAAACTGGGAATTCCTAGGAATTCCTAGGAATTCCAAGTCCGAATTTACCGTGAAAATTCACACCTATGATTCCTAGGAATTCCTAGGATAATCCTAGGAATTCCTAGGAATTCCAAAAGTTATTTCGCAAGGGGTATTACTTTTGTGGTAATCAGGGCCAAAAAACTTTCACTTGTCCGCTCGTCTGAGACGAGTAGTGCTCATCCAACCAGACAAGTAAAATTTATCATGAGTCAATAGCTTGCATAGAATAAAGTACTGAAAAGTAACTTGAATTGTCACAGCAGTGCTCGATTCAAATCATGGGGCCAGCTGGCCTTCATGGTTTTATTTTTGGTCGCCAGAACAAGTATTAGTATTCTAGTCGCCAAAAATTATATTAAAGAGATAATGGAATACATTAAACTAAACGTCTTTTACTTAGCCTTAACAGAAAAAGAATGCTCAAGTCTGTAATTTAAAATTATTTTGCAAGATCTTAAAACCAACGACTTCTTTTGCGGCAGTTTGCGCCCGTTTTATTACCAATGTCCTTTCTTAAATTCATATCATCAGTCGAAGAACTCACATACTCTCTCGTCTCGCCTGGAGTCTCTGGTAAAATAATTGTGAAGCTTAAATCTCCTCAAACAGATATTCAAGCTTCAGGAAATGAAATACAGATGTAGTTAAAAAAAAAACTTTAGAAATCACAGAAGACTTATTTGGGTTCAGAAAGAAAAAAAATTCTGCAAACATTGTGTTTTGCATCCCATCATTTGCATTGATGTTCAGCCTTTTGGACATCAGGAGACATGATGTATGAACAGTTCATGGGTGACTTCCCTTATCGCGATTCGGGATCTCGGCAAGTTCAGTTATTTTTAAGCTTCGTGAATTTTCGAGCGACCGTCTTGCTCCATCTCTTATATTTTTCCACTTACAGTGGTAGTAAGACTCTCTTCCTTATCTTAAACATATGCTACAAGTGCAAAATCTTGGTACGAGTCTTGCAACAGTCATATGTGAATGTTCATTAAACCACTGATTTTCTTCTTCGCTGTTTGTAAGTTTGTTTGTATACACCGGGAGCCATAACAAATATTTATGGGCGTAAATACAGAATACAGGGCTAATTTAGACTTCGGTTTCAAGTATTTCCTTGTTTGTACAAAAATTACCCTTTAGTTCTGAATTATAGTTGAAATGATTATAGTGGTTTAGTGTGGGAACAATAGACCTTGTCACGGTTTGCGACTCCATCTTTTGTAGCTTTAGTTTACAAGTCTTATTTTTTTCAGAACAGCCGTTTCACAGAAATGATTTGGCATTAGATTCTCATACAATCACTGTAATTTCCCACACATTTGTCTACTCGTCAAATGTTCCAACCACTTTGCTTAACATATACTTGGTCTGTCAGTATAAGCTATTTTTAACATCAGAAGGCTGGGAGGGGTTTACTGAACCTTCAAAACTTTACTGGAATATAATTGGAATGATAATCGATAAACTTTGCAAAACATTTAGTTTTCTTTTTTCTGTTTCTTGTACTTCAGTCCTTTGAGGGATTTTCTCAATGCATACCCTTTCCTGATGTACCGTAAATGCTGGAATTAGCGCCCGGGGCGCTTATTTATTTTTCTAAGGCGAGAGGGGGGCGTTAATTCGAAGGGGGGGGGGCACTTATTTGAAGGGGGGCGCTTATTTCGTTTATCAATTTTTAGCCTCAAAATGACACTATCTTTATTTCTATTTAAAACCAAACTGCAACATAAAAATTCAAAAACCTTATGGAAAACTACTTTTTGCGAACTCGGAAAGACGAACGAAAGGAGGCTAAAGAGCATGATGAATATGCGGTTGGAACATTCATTCAAGAGTGTAGCAAGCTGGTTGGACATGTACCCATTGCACTTTCCTTCCTCGTCCTTCCTCGCGCTTATTTGAAGGGGGAAGCTTATTACAAATTTTGAGCCTTAGGAGGGGCGCTAATTTGAAGCGGGGCGCTTATTTGAAGCTGGGCGCTAACTCGAGCATTTACGGTACTCGCTCTTATTAGCAACTGAATAGACCTTGTCACGGTTGTCAACGCCATCTTGACGAGTAGGCAAACGTGTGGGAAACAAACAAACAAACTTACTAAATTGGCCTTGTATTCCGTATTTACGCCCATAAATATTTGTTATGGCTCCCGGTGTACAAACAAACTTAGAAATAGCGAAGTAACAAATTGGTTTAATGATCATACACTTGACTGTTGCAAGACTTATACTTTATTGAGCACCATGGGTAAGAAACTGTGGTAAACTATCCATCCGAGAAAATTTGGTTATCATGTGACCGTACACCGACCGACCGACCGCCCAAGAGCCCGTCCGCACCACAGGCGTACCAATTTCAAATAATTCAATCAACAGGTATGAAAACCGAAATGCAGCTTAAGGTTTTAGTTGGAAAGAAATCGCATGGCCGCCCGGGCTTTAAGAAAGAAAAAACAACAACAAAGTCATGTCTTTTTCGACGTTATTTTTGATGTTTACACTCACGTCGATAACAGAGAAAGAGCTAGAGCGAGTGATTGAAAACAAAAGAGACGAATTTAGTAGGAAGAAAAACATGACAATTCAAAGCGGTTGTCAG